AAAAATAAAGTATAGATAGATTCATAAGGACAAGCAATAGTAAGATGTAAGGGGAAAAAATAGCACTCAATAGTTCCAGAAGAAATCACTCTCTATCAATAAATAATATTCAGATTTATAAGAGCATCAGAGAAGAGACGAAGTCATGAATAATAAACATACCTTGTTTAAACAGGCAAAGAAGCATGAAAATCCTTCAAGATAACACTATTCAACTTTATTTTCAAAAAGAAATTATCTTCAACACCCAAAAGAGTTCTCAGTAAACAATATTGTATTATACATAAAGTTATCAATCATGAAAAAACATACATGCTTTCTAAAAAAGTGTGTTGCCTTTTACTATAATCAAAAACCACACGTGCATCCCTACTACCAAAAAAAAAAGCAGGTTTATAAACAATGATAATAACTTTGAATAATTGCTATCTAAAACTACAATCTCCACAAATTTAATCCATTGAGATACGTGTTTTCTATGTAAACCTCATAAATATTTTCTGTTAAATATGCCTGGTTAAAAATATGCCAAATATGAATAATGGGCCAGGCTGCAAAGGGCGAAAATTGCTTTGAATATTTATATTAACCATCAAATCTTCTGAACCATCGAGGTAATATATAACACAATGAAGCCTCTGATGATGGCTGGTATAGAGGAGCAAAAATCAGAATCACATGAGACTTTCCCTCAGAAATCATGTAAGCAAGAAGAGAGTGAAGTGAAATATTTAAAATGTTGAGAGAAAAAAAGCATAGAATTCTGTATCCTATGAGATTATCCTTCAAAAGTGAAGGAGAAAAAGAATTTCTCAGACAAACAAAAATTGAGGGAATTTGTTGCCATTAGACCTGCCTTCAAAGAAATGTTAAAAGATGTTCTTGAGAGGAAAAAGAAAATATTATAGATCAGAAACTCACATACTCAGATCTACATAAAGAAAACAAGAGCATCAAAGAAGAAATAAGTGAAGGCAAAAAAATTATAAAAGTATTATTTTTCTTATTCTTAATTGATCTAACAGATAACAGTTTGTTCAAAATAATATTAATAGCAACATTGTGTATTTGTTTTATGTACATACATACATATATATGCTTATGTATAAGTGAAATGAATGACAGTAATAATACAACAGATGAGAGGGAGAATTTAGAAATAGTTTGTTGGTATATGATACTTGCAGTACCTGTGAAGCTGTAGGGTTCTTTGAAAGTAGACTCGGATTAGTTGCAAATATATGCTGCAAATTCTAGGGCAAGCACTAAGAAGAAAATGTAAAAAAAAGAAATACAACTGGCATACTAAGGAGAAAATATAGAATACATTCAATGAATGGGTAATTGAAAATGACAAAAGGGATAAAAAGTGTAGAAAACAAAACAGGAACAAGGAACAATGACAGAGAATACAAAACAGTAACAAATATGATACATATTAATCCAGCTATATCACTAATCATTTTGAACATCAATGGTCTAAATACACCAATTAAAAGACAGAGATTGTCAGAGTGGATCAAAAAACAAGACTCACCTATATGCTACCTACAAGAAACTCACTTTAAAAGTAAAGACATATACAGATTAAAAGTAAAAAGATGGAGAAAGATATATGAGGTTAAAATTAACCAAAAGAAAGCTGAAGTAACTATCTTAATTTCATACAGAGCAGATGTCAAGGCAAGGAAAATTATCAGGGATTAAAAGGAATATTACATATAATAAAGGGGTAAATTCTCCAAAAAAAGACAACAATCCTTAACGTGTATATGCCAAACAATAAATCATCAATATACATGAGGCAAAAACTGACAGCACTTCAAGGACAAATAGATGAATCCACCATTATACTTGAAGATTTTAACAACCCTCCATCAGAAATGGACAGATCCAACAGGCAGAAAATCAGTAAAGACATAGTTGGACTCAACAGCCCCATCAATCAACATCTATAGCATAACAATAATGGACATCTATATACTACTTCATTCAACAACAGAACAATACAAAATTTTCTCAAGCTC